AATTACAGCCCCAACAATTATGGAAGAACTTAAATGTATATAAATCATTCAAAATATTCATACGTGTTTTAATGTCAAAAATATAGAAAAAGAAATAAAAAATCACATTACAGGATTCATCGATCTTCTAATACAAGAATTTCTAGCCTAGTATGAAGAAAATTACAAAATACATAATAACTTGAAGAAATAACATCACCTGGTTAATTAATTGCGTGAAATCCCGTTGTTGTTTGTGTTTTTCTTCGTTGTTGTGGCTCCAAATCTCTCCAACATGTGTTTTTCTCCTACCCAATGCGTTCCTTCCTTTAGGGAAGGCCCTAGGGTTGTAAAATACTTCCAAAGATTTGTATCCATAAGAATTTCTGTCAAAAAACCAAAAAAATTTCACCGCAATTGGCTTGAGGGACTGGGCAATCACCCAGTTCAAAGTTTTTCTTCTTGGTAATTTTTTCTAACATTGGGCAATCCCACACTCTAAACAATTGGGCTGTCGCTCAGTTATAAAAACTCCCTAATATTGCATTTTAGCCCCTAATTCGATTCTTGATTCTTTTACATCCTTTCTTTTGCATTTTCAACCCTTTTACTTTTAATTGCATCCAATTGAACATGTAACACGTTTAATTTTCATTTTATGGTCCTAATCAATTATTGAAATGTTGTAATTTAGTCCACTTACTTTGGATTTCTCCTTTTTTTTTCTTTCTTTTTTTCTTGAATTCCGCCATATCCATCAATATATTCCTACAAAATAAAATTATATAGAATGAAGCCATAATTTAAATGCTTTGATCAACAATTAGTCATGTTTAGTGGACCGAATAAGTGTGTAAAACACACTTATCAAACCCCCAAACTTGAACTATTGTTTATTCTCAAACTAATTTTTTTTTACTATTTTGAAGGAACATGACACCTGAATACATTCGACAAGAGAAAATATATAGCAAGTGATCCATCACTTTCATTCCAATTCATCCACCACTTGCACTTTTATACCATGAGAGTTTTTAGTACCCTTCTTTGCCCTTAATTTCTAATATATTGCTTGTTATATTTTTAGATATTGAGGGCAATGTCTATTATAAGTTTGGGGGTAGAAAAATACCAAGTTTTTATTTATGTTTACTATTTAGTGTGCTTGTTCGCATGTAAAAAGAAATTGAAAATTTGAGCAGGTTAAAAAAATAGTGGACCTTTGATACTAAATCCAACTAACCACTAAATTATATATCCTTAATCCATTTTTAGGATAGTTTGAGGGTGATTGAGCTGTTGCAAGGAGAAATTGCCATTTGTGCTAAAATTTGAGTGGATTGTCTAATGTCGATAAGATGAAAATTAGGTGAAAATTTAAAGTTAAGGTTGATTTTTTTTAGAATAAGTGTTTAATAAGAGAGATTGTACTAATAATTGTGTGGAAAAAAAAAAGAAATAGACGAAAGAAATTATCTCATCTCATTGTGAAACGCCTCTTTGTAGCCTTTTATAACTCAAGTGATTAAGTCTACAGAGATATTTAAAAATTGGTGCCCTAAAATCATGTGACTTGGAAGTTATCGATCAAAGTTTCGCTGCAACCATTATTTAGAAAGTTTAATGGAGAGAAGTCTGCACACAAGATGAAAAAAAAAAAAAAAAAGCTGCATAAAACAAAAGACGTACCATTTGCCTTAATTAAGCCCAAAACATTTATTTTAGAGAATTAAACTTTTAACAAGCAGTTATTAATTTAGTTGATTCTTAAGGATTGTAGCAACAAAAAAATAAGGAGAATCTTCATTTGCTGATGTGTTGAGCTACAATTAGTAAGATCGAACCAAACTAGAGAGGGCGAGGACTAGTATACAAATTCAACCTTAATCGCATCTTCGGAAAAGAGTTAAAAGAAAAGTTTGGGGTGTGCATCTTACGAAAGAAGAAATGATATATTTGACCACTAAGGGGTCGGGATTTGAATCACTTCATGAATTTATGATGCTTGAAATGAATCTTCACACACACGTCGCTTTTGCATTGAAAGAGTAGAAATTAATTTTAACAATGTGATTTTGAAGCAATTCATAGTCTTAATATTGAAATTCGAATCCTGAGGCCAATAACAAACTATCTAACCATATTTGTTAAAAATTTTGTGATTATGTCAAAATATATTTTGTTTCAGGAGAAATAAAATTGTTCAAGTTTGGGGTGTTTAATAAGTGCATTTTATACAGTTATTTGGACATTAAATTGATTAATTATAATAAATTTTGATTATTTATGACTTAATTAGATGTTAATTTTATTTGTTAGGTAAAATCAAGGCAAATCGATTGAATTGGAAGAATAAACCAAAAAGGGGCAAAAATGAAATAAATTGAAAGTTTGAGAACCAAAGTGTAAACATCCAATAGTTCATTCGAAACATAAAATGATGAGTGAAGATCACATATAATCAGTTGGATGCAATTTAAAGTCGAACAAGTGAAATATAACCAAAGTATTCTCACAAACCATTTTTCAACTGAAAAAGTGATGCTCTGATTTTTAGCCTAAACTTGAGACCCATTTTCCGGATAGAAAAAGTCCGAATTAGAGAAAGTTGTACTCTAAAAGAGTTGTATCCTTTTGAGTTATCTTTTCAAAACACATTGAATCAACTCAATCGAATATCGTAAAAAAAAAGTATGACCAAAATACTAAAAGCTGTTCAGAGATCTCGAGATTTAAAACGGCTAGCGCAAGGGTTATTTTATGAATGTGCACAAGACGTTGTTTTCACAACCCGAGAGCCATTTGGTTTATTGGTACATGCGTGGTATTTATGCTTGTGCATACATGGGAGCTATTTTCGTAGATGAATCAGTAGTTTCTTTCCACAATTCAAACTCTTTTCGAACCAAATCAGACGAGACTTTGACCTAATTTTTTAGCTCTTATCAATACAATACAAGGGCTACACACTAAAGGAACTCTTTTTTACCTCTTCATACATAATAATATCATTGAATTCATCAAGAACAATATCAATTCATCACTTTTGAGAGAAAAGATCAAGTTTTAGGAAGGAATTGAAGCCAATTATATCAAGAAATTGAATATTTCAACCTTGGACTTGAAGATCAACATCTTTCGCTTTCTATCATGATTCAGATGATGATTTTTCATTATTCTTTTTGTAACTTATTTAAAAGAATGCTAGCTAAATTCGTTCCTGTATTCGATAAAAATGAACCAATACAAGTTAATATATTTGCAATAGAGGTTATGAATAACATTTATCACTGGTGCAGTCATATAAATAATATAAGATTTAATGCGTTCCAACCATTCGAATTTGGATTGGAAATAAATTTGGGTCATGTTTAGTATATAATTAATTTGTCTTCGAAAAGAAAGTAAAATATGTTAGTTATATCGATTATCAAGAACATACAAACGAAACTAGATTACAAATAAAGAATTGAAATAGGTAACAATATGCAGATTTTAAATAAAAAACAATCAGCCATAATTTGATATAAAAATAATTCTTACCGCTTTCTTAGATAATTTAGCATAAAATCAAATAAAAATCTCTCTTTTGTTTTACATAATTCGAATTCTATAAACAAGTGATAAACTTGAATTGAAATTTGTTTCTTATGGAACGATACGCTCTATTCATCAATTCTATTACTTTCAACGATCTCATACACTTGCGAAATTTTACTGAACACATTTCACTAACATTATATTAATAAAATTTATTAAAAATCTAATTTTTATCCTAACCAAACAAAGACATAGCAAATGGAATACATTATAAACTTGTAACTATTAGATACTTGTCATTCTTATATGATCTGTAAATTCTTATTGCTTTTATTCTATTAATAATTTCATTAAGATCATAAAAAAATGACCATACTGCGAAGTAAAGAAAATCTCCGAGTACTCCTCAAAATTATATCTTTACAAAAGGATTATCTTAAATTAAATTTAGCAAATAGTTAAACTGGTTACCTTAGCAAATATATTATAGAAATAAACTAAAGATCAAACTTTTGAAACTAGTAAGATTATCAAAAAAAAAAATTAATAATAATAATAATAATAATAATAATAATAATTAACATTGACAACAAACATTTTTAAATGGGAGTGGGCCCTTGTTAAATCCACCAGTGAAAGGTTGATATGTACAAATTTGTCGCATTCTGGCATTAGATCCTCAATAATATGCTTATAAATTGAACAATTGAATCATCTAATTGGTCACTGATTAATGCTATACCAGTCGTGATCATTATCCTACTAAGTTATAGTAAGTCCTATTGTCAAATCGAGTTGAAGTAACAATATTCATTTTTAGCTGGGATCATCATTAGTTGAGGTGTTAACGTGTCTCTTAATTTATTGTCTATATAATAAAATGAATCAAAATATTATAGGACTGACTTAAGTAGCTCAATGTCACATAAAATTATGATGATTAAAATTAATTACAAATAATACTATATATGGAACTGTGATGCATAATAATAGATTAGTGGACAAAATTATGTATAAATTGGTAATGATCACCAAATGACATTATTATTAATCATTTACTCATATATATATATATATATATATATATATATATATATATCTCAAAATATTGCAAGAATATCAACATATCGACTCAATATAAAACATTGTTGTTAATTAGCAAAATTGTACGAAATGTTGGATCATGATGATTAGTTTAATAGCCCAACCCTATATTTCTCTAGTAGATTGGATGCACAAATATCTATTTCTATTATATAATCATACTATTTATTAGTTATACGTTAAGCAACTCTCATCTTTTTTACCATTTTTTTAATCACTTTTTCCCATCCCTTGTTCTACACTTAACCAACTAACGCCACCAATATACCTACTTTTTACGCTCCATTTGGTTGTGTCCTTCAACTTCAAGCTAAGGAAAGTCACATACCAATCATTTTCTTGGTTGTTAAAATCCAACTTCTCCATTGCCAAATCTTCTTAACATTCAAATTTCCATCTTTTTTCTCTACTTATAATTACTATAATATTAATTAGAATTTGTAATCTTGAAAAATAGATTACGCAATTTCTTTTGAGTTTTGGAGAAAATGAGCACGGCTAGATTTATCAAGTGTGTAACAGTGGGTGATGGTGCGGTAGGGAAGACGTGTATGCTCATTTCCTACACTAGCAATACTTTTCCAACGGTATGGTTTTTTCCTATTTTAAAAATATTAGTACACGTACATTTGAACAAATATATTATGTATTCCTTGTTAGTAAAATATTTTTATATTTCTTATTTTACAGGATTATGTCCCAACAGTATTTGACAACTTCAGTGCAAACGTTGTTGTGGATGGCAGTACTGTGAACATTGGCCTTTGGGATACTGCGGGTAATTAAATTTCTAATTCTTCCACGAGGGTCGATTCCAATAGACTTATTGAAGGGTTCTTTAATCATTCAGTCTCTGAGATCCTTGTACACACTGAATTTCAAAGTATACAACATTGTTAAGTACCTTCTTATTCAGAATTACTTAAATCCAGGGCAAGAAGATTATAACAGGCTGAGACCTTTGAGTTACAGAGGAGCAGATGTATTTCTATTAGCTTTTTCTCTAATCAGCAAAGCCAGCTATGAGAATATTTACAAAAAGGTTAGGTTAATTATTTCCCAAATTATTTCATTTTTCTCCTGCAATAACATTACTACATAATTGTCTGTTAATCACAGTGGATACCTGAATTAAGACACTACTGTCCAAATGTACCAATTGTACTTGTTGGAACTAAACTGGGTAAGACTAATTATTAATTTTGATAATTAATTAAAATTTTATTCGTTTTGTCGTATAACAATAACACATGAATGCAGATTTACGCGATGACAAGCAATACTTGAGTGATCATCCTGGGGCGACTCCTATAACTACGGCACAGGTAAAGATATAATTCCGAGACAAAGTAGTTCCCGAGCAAAACTTGAATTCTAGACATTTGTTCTTTGTAAGCAGGGTGAAGAATTGAAGAAGATGATTGGTGCAGTTACTTATATTGAATGCAGCGCCAAAACTCAACAGGTATAATTTTCTGCTAATTAAGACAGACCAATTTCTATTTCGTTATTTTTATTTATTTATTTATTTACTTTTTTCAATTCCAATTTGTAATATGATTACAGAACGTGAAAGCTGTATTTGACACTGCAATAAAGGTTGTTTTGCGACCTCCAAAAGTGAAGAAAAAGCCTCGAAAATCAAGAAGATGCATATTTCTTTAAATTATATTCTCAAATATTGTAATATTTTTTAAGTTCCAAGTGATATTAATCATAAAATTCATATTATTGTAATATAGACAAAGGGACACTGGAAACTACACAACGAACAAGAATAGTTGATCGTAATTTTGTATTGATTTATCTCAAGAAATTTTGCTACGCATAAATAAATAATTCTTTGTTTCAAGTTCTTAGTGTTGCAACGTAAACTTGTATATAAGCTCATTGTCTTTTTAGCTTTAATTCTACCTATAGACCAAATAATTAATAATATAATGGGAACATACTTGAAGATTTCTCAAATGCAATCCAAGCGCACGAGCGTGAACACACACACACATTAAATTTAAATTAATGGTGTCAAAATTTGTTGAACGATACTGATCCTAGTACCTTTACATGTGAAATCATAGTCGACGAGTGACAAAATCGTATTTTGGACTAGCCTATCTCTACATCTAGCCACATTATAGCAATGTTTGCTTTTTATGGTATGCATTGCATGCCGGAAAAAATTCTTTCCGACGTACATGTGAAAGCCACTATAGCCATGACTTAAGTACTAGCTTTTTTTACAGCATACAATGCATATCATGAAAAAAGGAGTGCACGCCGTTAATTTATTTTTTACGACATGCAAATGCACACCTTAAATACTCACTTTCTTTTACTGTTGAATATTTATGCAATTCAAACTTTACAAAATTGCCAAGATCTCCATGTCAAATTACCAAGAAAAATAATTAATTCGGAACATATCTTGATCCCTTGACTTGTATCTTGAATTATGAATTATGAATTATAATCTTTAAATCTTCCCTTCTGGATCTTTAATCTTGAATCTTGATTCTGGATTTTTGAATTGTTGAACTCTTCTTCTTGATTCTTGAATGTAAATTGCCTATTCTTGACTGTGCGTTTTATTAATCTTCCTTTTCAATATACTTTTTCTATAATTCTTGTGTTGATGGAATGACACAAAGAATGAGAAAATTACATATGAATTGAGAACCATAACTCTATATATAGTTATCATATCTATTTCGCCCATCATGAAAAATAATTCTAAAGAATCCGGTCTCTACACATATAATCTAACCCAAATTCTATTTAGATGCCCTAAACCAAATTATTTAATTCCTTATTAGATCACTTTAATTTTGGGCTTAACTTTAAAATAGTCTTTATACGCAATTATTTACATTTGTTGGCACACATGGCAAATTAATAATCTTTCAACAATCTCCCACTTAGCCACATATGTTACCTTATAAACGTTTATAACCTTATGAGTTTAATAATTTTGTTATTATAACTAAAAGGCATCTTCGAACATTTACGTCCATTAATTATGCTAATATGGGATCAAAGCGATCTTCGCTACAATTATCATAACTAAACCCTTAAGGGTCACGTATATTAACACAATCAAATGAAATAAATCAAGTCTATATGTATAGCATGGAAATTACATGCAAAGTGATTTGAACATGCCTATTTTCAACTGGTCCTACTTTATTCTTTAATACCTTATACTTTAATAATATCAACCATGAACTTTAATCAAAGTGAAAACTGAACTGAATACTTATTACTGAGATAAACTAAATTGTGCACAACCAAAATCATGTGTCAAAAAGGACAACATCCAAAATTACAAACTTCCACTAAACTAACGTATCATCAAAATGTACAACACACATGTGAGCAGTGTTCATGAAAGACCTTGGATGGTAGTCCTTTAGTAAATGAATCTGCTATAATGGAGATTGTCCCAATATGTTTTGTAGCAATCTGACAACTTTGAACTCTTTCTTTTACAACTAGGAATTTAATGTCTATATATTTATATTTTGTTGAACTCCTATTGTTATTTGAATACAAGATTGCTGATTTATTGTCACAAAATATCTTAAGTAATCTTTCAATTCCATCAAGAACTTGCAGCCTAGTGATAAAATTTTGCAGCCATATTCCTTGATTGGATACCTCATAACATGCTACAAACTCCGCTACCATGGTTGAAGAACCTATGAGTGTTTGCTTAGTACTCTTCTAGGATATAACTCCTCCATACAGGAGAAAGACATAGCCTGATGTGGATCTCCTACTATCTTTGTATCCCACAAAATCATAATCAAGATAACTAATGATCTCCAATTGGTCAGATTTCCTGTATTTGAGCATATAATCTTTTGTTCTCCATAAATAACTCATAACCCACTTGGCTGCATTCTAGTTTGCAATCCTGCATTCCATATCTTTGAAGTACCATATTGATATAGGTCTTTTATGATAATCGAGGAAGACCTGAGAACAATCTTAGTGTGTCTGTATTCCTAATACAAAAGAGGTGTTGCCTAGATCTTTCATTTCAAAATTGTTTGATAGAAATCTCTTAGTTTCATGCAATAAGCCTATATCATTGTAGGTAAATAGTATGTCATCGACATACAATACCAAAAAATTATATTTACTCCCACTAAACTTGTGATAGACACGATCATCAACCGTGTTTATCTCAAAACCAAATGAGATGATTATTTGATGAAATTTGTGATACCATTGACGAGAAGCTTGCTTAAGCCCGTAGATGGATTTCTTTAATTTGTAAACCATTTTCTTTAGGTCTCCTAATACAAAGTTTTCTATTTGCACCTTATATATCACCCATCAATGTCACCATTGAGAAACGTCATCTTTACATCCATCTGATGTAGCCCAAGACCAAAATGTGTCACAAGTGCCATTATAATTCTGAAAAGAGTCATTCGTTGAAACTAGAGAGAAAATCTCTTTATAATCGTTGCCTTTCCTTTGAGTAAAGTCCTTTACAATAAGACGAGCCTTATATCTTTCAACATTGCCCTACGGATCCCTCTTGGTTTTAAAAATCCTTTTGCAACCAATAGGTTTCATACCTTCGGGCAATGGGACAAGTTCCCAAACGTCATTGTCTTTCATGGATTTAATTCCTCATTCATGGCATCAATCCATTTTTGAGTATTATCACTTTTCATTGCTTGATGAAAGGTGATTGGATCTTAATTCCATCAATCTAATGCCTTCCTCATGTTATTGGAGAAATACTATAAAGTCATATGGAATTGCACTTCTCCTTTCTCTAGTGGATCTCCTTTATGGCATATGTTCTTGAGGTTGTTGAATTTATTCATCTGGAATAATTTCTTGATTGTTTATAGGGGGTTCGGAATATTGTCTTGATCCGAAATTACTTTTTGAACCAGCTCTGGAGCAAGAATTTGTCGCTGGTCCAGACATAGTAAATTGTAACAGAAGGAATATTTATATATTCTTCCTCAAAGACAAAATCCCTAACCTTATCTCTTCCAACAAACTCTACATCCTCAAAGAACCGGGCATTTCCCGTTTCAAAAATTGACTTTGTAGTGTGGGATCATAAAATTTGTAACCCATTGACCTTTCTAAGCATCCAGTGAAATAACAATTGACAGTTCTGGAATCCAGTTTCTTTTCATTATGCCTATAAGGCCTTCCTCAGCTTGGCAACCCCAAATGTACAAAAGTTTCAAACTAGGCTTTTCTTGGAACCCTATTGAGAATATAAGCTGTAGTCTTTAATGCTTCTTTTCAGAGAGATTCTAGTGAGGTGAAATAACTAATCATACTTAAGTATTCTGTTGTGTCTTTCAGCAATACCATTCATGCTAGGAAAACCTAGCATAGTGTATTGTGGGATGATTCTGTATTCCTCTAGGAATTTAGTAAAAAGCCCTAGACATTTTTCTGATCTATCATATCTACCATAGTATTTACCACCACGGTCATATTAGACGTATTTTATTCTTTTGCCGAGTTAGTTTTCAACTTCAGCCTTATAAGCCTTGAACATGTCCAGTAATTGGGATTTCTCATTAATGAGATATAAGTAGCCATAGCGAGAATAATTTTCTATAAATGTAATAAATTATTGTTGACCATTCTAGAAAGTCGAAGGGAATGGCCCACAGATATCCGTACGAATTAGTTTTAAGATGTCCGAAATTCTGTTGGCATTTAATCTCTTCACATTTGTTTGTTTTCCCTTAATACAATTTACGCAAACACATAAGTCTAGAAAATCGAGGGAATCAAGAATTCCTTCTGATACAAGCTTTTCAATCCTTTTTCAAGAAATATGACCTAAACGCTTATGCCATAATGAAGCAGAATTTTCTTTGGCTAGTTTGCATTTAATACCTCATGAATTCACATACAATGTTTCATTATCAGAGGTAATAGAATTAAGCAAGTATAGATTATCATATCTAGATAAAGAACGGGTACTCACAAGATTTGAATCAAGAAAAAGACTAAATTCATTATTTCCAAATGAACAAGAATAACCGAATTTATCCAATGCAGAAATAGATACCAAATTCTATCCAAAAGATGGGTACCACAAAAGTCTCTTTCAAATCCAAATAAAAACCAGTCTTTAATAATAATATAAAAGTCCCTATAGCCTCAACTTCAACTAATTTGTCGTCGCCCACATAGATGAATCTTTCATCATCATTTGGCTTTCGATAGTTCAGACAATCCTGCATAGATACACTTATATGAGTAGTGGCACCAAAATCAATCCACCAAGTATGTCTAGGTACTGAAGCTAAATTAACCTCAGAATAAACCAAAGTGAGAAAAGTACCTTTCTTTACACGCCAAGCGAGGTATTTGGTACAATACTTTTTTAAGTGTCCTGAAATTCCACATAAGTAACAGCTAGAGGACTCATCCTTTTCAGGCTTTTGCTATTTCTTTGAGCTGAACTGAGTGCAGCTTTCTTATTTTTTCTTTTCTTGACCTTGTCCTTAGAAGTGTTAGCCAAGTAAGCAATTTCAATCATGTCTTGCTTAAGCCTTTCTTCTTCTTGCATACAGTACTAAATGATCTCATTTAGAGTCCACTTCTTCTTTTGAGAGCTGTAACTGACCTTGAATTGATTATATTGTGCAAGAAGAGAAATTAAAATCAAATGCACGAGCAAATCATTAGACAGCCCAAGCTTTAGTGCCTTTAGTTTTGAAGTAATATGAGACATCTCCATGACGTACTCCTGAATATTTCATTTACCTTCATACCTTAGTGAAACTAATTTAACCAGAAGTGTACTAGTTTCGACCTTATCGCTTTTT